GCCAGGTAGGGTAAACATCCATGAAAGGTACAATGGTAGCTTCAACCACTCTCCCCCAACATTTCCATAGCTTCCATTATGTATGTCTGAAGAGGATATTGGTCCATAGGTCTCTTCTCTTCAGAAAGTCAGCCTCCTCATGAGGAGACCACTGGAAATATATAAAGAAGGGACAGTCCTGGTGCCCCTTCTTCCTCATGTTTTTATGCAGATCTTGGACATCCAAGTAGGCCCATATGGTTTCAAGAGGCATCGTATATGGCAGAAAATTGTCCCTCTGTAGGCAGCCTATTTTTATTTATTTTTTTAATTAAAAGGGTGAGCCATATTTTTGATAATGTATACTGAGGCCTCAGCCAACACAACCACTGTTTTCATAGGCCCAAAATATCTGTAATGATTAAGTCCTAGAAATTACATTTGTTTATTTTTAAGTTATTTAATAAAATTATTAATATTCATAAAGTATTATATACAATAAACTGAAAAATACTGTTTATATTGAACTTCAAATCTCTTGTTTTTGTAGTAGTATCATTAAAATTATGATTATAACTTTATAATGTTTTAATGGATACTTTTGAAACCAGAAACTAAAAAATGGACCAGAAGGGCCTGAAATTTTTATTTTAAAATGGAGGTACAATGAAGGATATTAGAAAGGAAATGGCACCTGTACATGAAGTCATATATTAACAAGTGAAATACAAGGTTATTTTACTAAAGTATTATTATGGACAAGTCATAGTTACAGGAACTGGATCATGTTCTTTACTCTGCTCTGCTGAGTAAATAGTCTGGTTGATCCAACACTGGATGATGTGAGGTGAAAGATACTTATATTGGGAGGAGGGAGTGTAACTCATGCTCTGCTTATGGAAGATCCAAGATTCAATTCATATTATCTCCAGATGGATCTGGAAAAACTCCAGTGTGAATTCTTGGAAAGCTCCCGCCAACAAAATTGGACCAGTCTGACTACTGATCCTATGTTCCTGTTCTATTCTCCTAGGTATTTTCCACACTGGTGCCTTGTTCCACTACAGAAGCAGGGTTTATACATTGTTTATGCTAGCAGGGTTGTAATGTCACCCACCACACTTTGGTTTTGTTCCCATAATGATACTTATCCTTAGTGGTTTACTTCTCTAACAGTGGGAACTAATTCTGTTGCCCACCCAATACCTTCCTAGTATCACCCCTACACATTTTACTGCCACTCATCTATATGTAGCTATAGCCTTAAAAGTTATCACTGCTCCACATTGTCATTTTTTTAAAAAAACTACATTTTTGTAATTGTACAACTGCTTTCACCCATCAAAGGAACAAACGAAACCAACAGGAATACAATCATACTCCCTCATCAAAGATCTGCCTCCCCACTTCAGTCCCCCACTCAAACTTCTGATCTGATGCTCTTTCTCCCTCCTTTCCCAATTGAACCCAAATGAGCTAAATCTGCTCCTGCAAAATCTGGCTCCTGCTACCTCATCTGAATGCCACACCCCTGAAGTGGCTGGAAGCCACTTCTTTTGGACCTTTTTTTCAGGCCCAAGAAATAAAAAGCAGAACAATGCATTGTCCTGGGTTGCCAAACACATATTTGTGGCAAAAAAGAGGGGTTATACCAGAGGAAACAGAATCAATGTTGTGCAGAAAGTCATCCTTTCCACTGAAATTATCCAAACTCTATTCCACTGAATGAAAAAGACTTTAGAGATGTCAGTGATTTATCTGAATGGAGACAAGCAAGGTGTGGTTTCATCCAACTTGACTTTCTAGCAATGAGTTGCATATCTTAACATATATATAACACAATGCTTTGTTGTTGTTGTGTACCTTCAAGTCATTTCCAACTTATAGTGACCCTAAGGAAAATCATGGGATTTTCTTTGCAAATTTGTTGAGAGGAGGTTTGCATTGCCTTCCACTGAGGCTGAGAGCATGTGACTTACCTAAGGTCATCCGGTCATTTTAATATCCTTCCTTTTGAATAATGAATATACCATGGTAGGTCTTCAATACTGTTACTTCCCCCACTTTTCCCCCAAACTGAGATTCAAGACAGCTTACACATTAAAATGAATACAGTTCATATACAATGAATTGCAGTACAATGAATTTTATTTCATTGTGTTGACCTGAAAACACCATCCTCCATGGAGGCTGATGGGATCTGGTGTCAGTGAGAATCATAGAGTTGGAAGAGACAACAAGGGCCATCCAGTCCAACCCCCTGCCATGCAGGAACTCCCAATCAAAGCATCCCTGACAGATGGCCATCCAGCCTCTGCTTAAAGACCTCCCAGGAAGGAGACTCCACTACTCTCCAAGGGAGTGTGTTCCACTGTCGAACCGCCCTTACTTTCAGGAAGTTCCTCCTAATGTTGAGGTGGAATCTCTTTTCTTGCAGCTTGCAGAATCAACTCTTAGATTTAGCCCAGATTTTAAACAATCTATCCAGGATTCTGAATTTGGAAATTTGTGAATTTCTGAATTTTGGAGATATAGCACCTAAAATAACTACTTTAAGGTTTTGACTAAAACCTAAGTTGGATTCATGCCCTGCTAACATCAGAGCCACTGTTCTCTATTGCTACGCTCACCTTATTATTATGATTATTATTATTTCTTTTCTGCCTTTTCTGCATATTATGACCCAAAGTGGTTTATAATGATTAAAAAACATTGTTAAAAAGCCACAAAACACAAAAGTTAAAACACAAACCATCAGAGAAAAAATACAGGTTAAAACATTATATCATTAGCACACACACACCAGTATAGCAAATCACAACATCCAGTGCATTGTGCAAGATGGATCTTCTCTTCTTTTTTCAGCTCTTCTTTTCTCAGTTACTTAAAAGAAGCATGCTCCCCCCCAAAAAACTTTCATGAAAATAGGGAAGTTATTACTGGATTTTCTCAATATAATAAAAATACATTAAACCAGTTCTCAGAAACATGGCATATATGCAAAACTACCTACTCTGCTTCCAAAGCTCAGTGAGGAATCCAATGACTCTGTATAACTACTGCCTGTATAAACCCTTAGTTTAATAAGTAGTTTGAGAGCCAGCATGGTGTAGTGGTTTGAGTGTGGGACTATGAATTTGAAGACCATGGTTTGAATCCATGCTTGGCCATTGAAACCCACTGGGTGACATTGGGCAAGTGACACTCTCTCAGCCACAGAGGTAAGCAATGGCAACCCCCCTCTGAACAAATCTTGTCAAGAAAACGATATGAAAAAAATTATCTTAGGGTTGCTAGACAGAAATGACTTGAAGGCACACAATAATAATAAAATAATTAGCTCAGTGGTTCCCAGTCATCTGGTTCCACAGATGCTGTTGGACTAAAAATTTTAGAGCTACTGTTACTGCTTTACCTGCTTTACAACAGAAGAAGAATGTTGTTTCTTAACACCCTGGTAGAGACAAAGAACCAAAATAGCTGCAGGGAAATGCTATGGATTCTCTCTTGGCTCCCTGCATCAACAGAATTTTTAACTAAGATCCAATTACAGAATATTCATTATTGATGATAATAAGTGAGTTGTAAAAAACAGACATTTACTTTCTGAGCCTAGGCAGTTGGGAGTTTCAGCAACCTTTTTAAACTTGTAAACTCAGCACCTTTCAAATCAATCTAGAGTGCAACCAGGTTTCCAGGTTGTTTTCAAGAGACCAAAAGTATAGTTGTGGTGGTGGTGATGATGTGTGTATGAAAGAGGGGTGGGAGTGTTTCATTTTATCCTGCCAATCTTTCATTCATTGTTTTATTTATTTATTTTAAATATTTATATCCTGTCCTCTATCTAAAGATTTCAGGTTGCCATGCAGTAAAATCAACTTGATCAAATTTATAACACTGTAAATAATACAAATGATTTTAAAGGCTATAAGCATAGTAAACAAGCAGCTAAGAACAGCATACTTGGATTACTAGATGAGAACATGCTTTGTTCTGCCTCTGTTAGCCTATCTCCTTTCTCCAAATTGATAAGTATATCTGATATAAATCTGCCATCAATTTAGCAGATGCCCCCTAGTACAAAATTATTTGCTCTCCCCCTGCCTGACTGTGCTACATGAAAATATAAGATGCTGTCCTTTACCTGGTTCCTTGAAAAGTTACTGCTGAGTCTGAATAGATCATACTGAGTTAAATAGATCCATATGTTCTGTGAGATAGGTTACTGTAGCTTGAGAGATAGTAATTGGTTGTATTATGTACTAACTGAGAAGAATAGGTACTCATTGAGATTCCTGGCTGCAGGTCTATTTAAATTAGACTATCCAAAATCTGACAGTCTGTACACTACATCACACTGGCTCTTAGTGCATATTGAGGGAAGATATCAGGGTGAAATATTCTATGGCTGAAGTGTGAACAGAATAAATATAATTTGCAGTTTATTCTTATGGTTCAGGGAATCATTGAGTTACCTTCTGCAGCTGGCAGAAATTGCATTACAAAATTCTAACTTCTTGGGAGTAATGTGAAGTCGTAGGCTTCTGGCGAAACGTCAGAAAGAAACTCTTCTAGAACATGGCCACACAGCCCGAAAAAAATCCACAAAAAAACTATTCTTGGGAGTACCTCCCCTGAAATTGTTTATTTGCATTGTTTTCATTATAATCTTATGAGAAAGGGGCAGATATGTGTGCTGCCTTTCCTAATGGGCACTTTCCTGGAAGGTAGGTTGCAGTCCTGGAACACATTGTTTCTGAGCAACCTACCAGACTGTAAACATTTCTGTTGCCAATCAGTAGCCACAATCTACTGACATGACAGTCCTGTTTTTGCAATCCCAAAGAGGCACCAGAACCAAGAGTATTCTGGAGCTCTCATGAACTGCTATAAAAAGCCAGTTGGCCTTCATTTGTCTTGGTAGGTTTTATGTTTAGCTGGCCTAGCTGGTCAAGGCTTGGGCAGCAGTCAAAAAGTTCAGTTTCTCAGCAGACTAAAGCCCTCCTCCTCTCATATTAGAAATAAACAAGATGTGTTCAAGGCTTTAATATCCACATGATGTGTGACTTTACCAAAACATGCAGCTTAAAAATTTAAGAATAACCCTGCTGGATCTGACCAAAGGCCTAGCTAGTCCAGCATTACTGTTACAGCAAATTACAGTTTCCCCTCCTTTTTCTCAGGGGATCTGTTCCACACACACACATACACCCTGCAAAAAACAGAAAATGCAAATATTCAAGTCCTATTGGTTTGAATGGAGGTGCATGCCTGTGGGGGGGCATTTTATGTCCCTCTAGTCATCCCTCGTGGATAAGCGCAGGTTGTGGACTTCAAGACCATGAAAACGGAGGAACAACTATATACCTTTTTGTAGCATTCTCTGTGAGCCTGCCTTCTGTGGGTGGATGAATAACTAAACATGTCCAGCTGTCCCCAGACCAAAAGTTACTCCTGGCAAAATGCAGTCTGCCAGAATATAGACACACAGTTTAATAAGTATCTGGGACAACTTCTTAACCACAGTTACTGTTGTTGTCACATGTCTTTAAATCTAACTTATGTGACTCTATCATAGGGTTTCCTTGGCAAGTTTATTCAGAGGAAGTTTGCTACTGTCATCTTCCTAAGCTGAAAGAGTGTAACTTATACATTACTTTTATTTTAAAAAAGGCTTTATAATATAAACAAGATTAAAGTAAGTGTTGAAGGATGTTGTCACATGGGGCTAAAAAGCAGAATTTTAACAGGATAAAAAAACATATTTTGTCGGTACTTATCACATAACATCATGTCCGTCCTGCAGCTGCCTTACATTCCCTTTGTTACTGTACTATACTTTTTCATTGATGGGCAAAACCCATCAATAGGCTCTTAATCTCACTGTTATTCTATTACTGCCTTCTTGCAGTAGGTCCCTTTTGCTGCAGTACTGCTTCTCGGGAAGACACAAGGTGTAAGTGGGCATGATCCTGCTTCTCTCCCCTCTTCCCTTCACATTGATTGCAGCCACCAACACCTTCCTGAATCTGGCTGCACTGTGCACATTCACACAGCATCCAGCTTTGGGAGCCAGTTGGTGGCTGCAATTGCATACACAGGCTACTGTGTGAATGTACACAAAGCGGTTCTGCATTTTGGGAAGTGGGGAAGAGCACACAACAGCCACCTTTGAGAGACAGGTGGCAGCCAGGATTATTTGTTACCCCCTTCCTTCCAAAGTGTGGGTCTGCTGTGTCATTGTGCACATAGCAGCACTGCCCTTGGGCGTGGGTGGGGAGAGGAATGATCCCGGTCACCAATGCCTTCTTGAAGCTCACTGCTGTGTGCACATTCACATAGCAGCTGGCTTTATGAGGCAGCTGGCAGCCAGGATTGCTTTTCCCCCCATCCCCTCCCAAATTGCAAGGTTGCTGTGTAAATGTGCATGCTTCAGGAAAGAGAGGAGCAGCACATTCATACAACAGCTGCCTTTGGAAGATAGTTGGTAGCCATGATTGCTGAAAGGTGGTGTTTGTCAGTGGGGAAAACAAATCACATGACCATGGATTGCAAAGGAACTACTATGGGAGAAGATGTGATAAAAATAATGCCAAATTAGTATACTTGCCTTCCTAAACTAGCGTGATTGTGGCGGGACAGCAGGCTGGTGTGATAAAGTCCTATGAAACAGAAATGCAGTCAGAGCACAAGAATGAGCAGAATTACAAACATAAGATGTTTTCATATAAGTACTCTGATTACCAGGTCTAACGGCATAGGCCCTGTGGAGCTTTCTAGTTTGGAAAGCTGGTTGTTTCTCATTTTCACCTTTATAAAGGATTTTATTTCTCATAAAAATTATCTTTCCCCCAAACTTCTAAGGCAGAGTGTTAACACTTAACAGTCTCTGAAATTATTATTAGTGTTCTCTTGTATTACACAAAACAAGGTTTGGATGTCTATAATCCAGATGTTTAGGGGGTTGTTTGGATCCCAGTTAGTAGGACCTTAGATTTATTCCTTGTCTAGCAGGTGCCTGCTTAGTTGACTATGTGATAATTAAGGATTTTTGTGTGCCCCCTCCACCTTTTCTCTTTATGATGTCTGTGTGCTTGGATTTTGTTCTCTTATTTTTCTGTGCATTTATGTTTATTTATGCATCATCAGTTACTCTGTGATGTATCCAATAAGGCTGGCTCAGTTACATTTTACCTTGGTATCATTTGCCAGCTTCCTGATTTACCTGTGTCTTGGGGTTAACAGCAGGGCTCTTGCTTCTTTGAAGTATTTATAGAATAAATGTTAGCTTTTAATGTCAGAGTTACTATTAAACCATTGATGACATTTCACTGATATTGTTTCCATTTTGTCATTTATCTCTTTATCTTCTTAATGGTAAAACAACAAGCATTTTCAGCTGACATTTCATGTTGGTTGGAAAGAGATAGTCTTTCCCCAATACCAATATAGGAGATATACCACGTCATTTGTCATTGGGAGATACATAAGGATGGCATGAGGATAATGTTCATTCCTTGCTGTGCTCCCTTTAAAATTTCCTATAAAAATCTCTTTGGGATTGCAATTAAGGGTTAAATGCCCAGAGTTTGGATGCCCTTGGGTAGAATTCGTTTCAATCTTCCAATTGATCTGGATTGTCAGATACTGATTATTTAGTACTAGGGATCACGTGGTTTCTAAAGATTAAGATGTAAGTGCAGACTCTACTGTCTCAGCAACTTAGAATCTTTCTTGTGACATGTGCAGCAGAGCATTACCAGATAAACAGGCTGAGGGAAATAGTGGATTGCAATGATGGATTATTTAATAGGAGGAATTTTTGAAATATTTATATTTAACATTGTACGAAGACTTCTATTTGAGATAAGAGTTGCACTTTTTAAAAAATGAACATTAAAAATGGAAAGGAATGGATCTACCAGCATCTTTGAGACTAATTTATTGAAGTAGGGGCACTGAAGAATCATCTGAAAAAGTTGATTGAAATTCATGAAAGCTCATGCTAAAATAAGTTCATATCCAAGTTGCTATTAGATTCTTTCCACCCTTCTCTTTTCCTTTTTTTTGCTGAAGCATACTAACATGACTGCCTCCTTTTTGAGTTAAATTTGACTTTCCAAATGCTCTGTGAAGTATTGAAGTTGGTATTTTCCCTTATATAGAGTA